GTAACGGTAAGTAAGGTAACGGTAACGTAACGGTAACGTAACGTAACGTAAGTAGTAGTAGTAGTAGTAGTACGTTAGTTAGTTACGTTAGTAGTGTGTGTGTGTGTGTGTGTGTGTGTGTGTGTGAGAGAGAGAGAGAGAGAGAGAGAGAGAGAGAGAGGAGGGCGGGATGGGACAAATTTCTATAGTCTACCACTAGGATGAAGAGAAAATATCAGACTAGACTAATGTGATGAATTAAATGTTACAGGCTGTGGATTACAAAAGACCCACCTATGAGGAAGTTATAGCGACATTCATGCCTTACTTTAGCAACAAGGTAGCAACTGTGAAATTGTAGAAATAGTAACAACATGGTTTGGATTTGTTTCTTAAGTTTCTTCTCATGCATGAGTCCAGGGGTGGTAGGTATTTGCCGAGTTTAAGGCCAAGACTCCACCTATAAGGCTCTCATAACACAATTTTTGTCAATTTCTTCTATGTAAAGATTTTAATGATATAGGGAGTATGGATTTTCAGCGCTATAATCCCGTGACTCTTTGTTCTTATGAATTTGTGCCCTTTCCCCAGTACTCTGAAATCAATAACATATGGTATACCTAAACTAAAAATTAACCCCTCCATCCATATGTCAATGCTATTCTTAGATGCCACCATATGTTCATATGTAATAATGAAGATGTCCAAAAATTGCAAATCCCACTCAATAAGGAGTACTTCTGTGTCTTATTGACACATACACATGCATACACACACAAGCGGACAAACAAACACCTTCTAAAAGTTAGTACGAGTAGTATTGGCATTAGTCAAACGTCTTTTATCCCTCAATCTAGAGGTGTTGTTCAAAGTCAAATTCGTGTTTAAAAACTTCCATGGAATCGAATCCCGATCAGTGTGAGTCGAGCGCAACTGAATATTCCCACCTTGATACATTACGCATGAATATGTGTTTCTTTGCAAGCATATGTTGATGTGGATTTTAATTATTCCAATTGAATGTAATGAGGAATAGGCTCAAGGAATTGGTGGTCAGGATGGTAGGTGTCACAACATGACGTCTTGAATTTTATTCCAACCACGGGCTGGAGACCGTTTCTCCATTGGTTGAATAGAAAAAAAAAATTAAAGTAATGGTGAAGATGTTGCAACCATTCATTTAGATTGATGGGATGAAGATCTTACATGCAAATTTGATTTGAAGACAAGTTTGATCAACTTATTATAATAGTGTTAAATTGCATCAATTATACAGTAAACAAGTTTTATATTAGAAATTCACACTCCTTAACCACTAGAAGTTTCAAAATGAAGTCTCCAAAGTTGACGGACTTGAATGAGATATATGTATTATTTTATGTAAGCATTGGGCTCTAATCCGTAATCTACATTTTGAGAAATCCATAAGATGAGTAAGAGAAATAAGTAATTTGAGAGGGAGCTCCAAATAATTTTTCTGCAAGGTGGAAACGCAAAAATAGTTTTCATCAACTTTAAACAAAATAAATGTTCTATGTATTCCAGTAAGGAGGAGTCCAATTCTATGTATTCTAGTAAGGAGGAGTCCAATTCAAAATTTTATATATTAGAGGTCAAATCTTGTTTTCAAATGACCATTTAAAGCGCACCTGAGATAAATTTGTCAAATATTTATTACAAATGCAAATGAACTAAACAAACCTAAGATGGATTGTATGTAACAACTAGAAAACCTCGAGCTAGCTAATATAGACTCAATGAACCATGAAGTTAGGAAAGAGAGAAAGAAGACCTTATTAGAAGAACCTCTAAGAAGAGGACTGGTGTATACTTGAGATATGTGCAATAATATAAATGAATTGTATACTACGAGACCATTTATTTTTGATACAAGGAGATCACAATTACCTATAACCATCCCATGTAAAACCTGACAACTTGGGTGAGTTTGAAAACATTATATTGAACTTTGAGACTAATCAATGGAATAAATGCATCAATCCAATTTCGCAATGGTGAACATGAATTGTGACCTCCATGTACCAAATATAAATCATCTTATTGTATATTTTATAATATAATATTCCAAGACCATGTTTGTCAACAAAGTCGAGGAAACTACTATTCATATCGAGTGTACAATTCATGCTTGGCATATAGCAATGTACTTGGAATTGGGTACCAAGCAGATAAGAAAGGGTGGTTTTTCTTATGCCTTTTTGATATGTTTGTTCGAATTTTTGTTTGAAAAATACTTGTTTATATTTCAAAACAACAATATAGTTTTTTGGTTTTTTCCTAAGCTATTTTTGTAGAGAGAGAGAGTTGTGGGTTTGAGTCCCACATTGAAGATAAGAGAATAAATTGAGATGTATTTAAGTACAGGCATTCTCATGCCATATAGTCTTAATACAAAGGAGAGAATGATAGTGCATGTGCGGAGCACGTAAAGTTTGCGACATGCACATGCACATGTGTGTGCGTGGGTGTAAGGGCGCTTGATGGTGCACTTTACGCGTGTATGAGTCGGACTTGAGGTTTGATATCTTTTTGTGAGCCCAGCTTGTGTGGGAGTCCAATGGTCATCTAGTCGTTCATGAAATGGAGGCTTCTAACAGCAGATCCAACGGTCATTTAGCCGTTGACGAATGGAGGCTTGTAACAACCCCCTTACGGGGGTACATGTAACTTTTAGTTGTTGGTGGTGCATGTAACCACCATTACAGTTAATGTGCAGCCACCTTATAGCTCTATAATTGGGCTCTCCTTTCCATATGAGATTAACACTTCAACAAGGCTTTTTGCAACTCTCTCTACATACCTTTCTTTGCATTTCTAAGAAGCACAACAATGGGCTAATCTCTCTGTACTCGTTCTTCACACTTTCTCTCTCAAAAACATCAAGACCCTGGTGTCTAGTGTGTGGTTTCCTAGCTTAGGTGTATAGAACTTTGAATTATCAAAAGAGATCTCTATGTTTTCCTGTATCCTGATGACAAATTGCCCTTCTTATGCACACTAAATACAATGTCTAGGAGGGGCAAATATTGTCTTGAGATAGCGCTCGTGTGTGCCTGAAAACAGGAAGGATTCGGGCTTTTATTATTGTAAATTGTACTTTTTTTGCCCTTATTTCACCTAACCATTTTTCAACAATGTTGGATGTGAAAATTTGCCCCTCTTCTTGAAAGTAGGACTATATGACAAAACACAATGTCTATAAATTTAAAATTTTCTTTTCTTTCACCAACTAGATCACTTATAATGTTCAATTACAAATAAAAGCTCTCTTGAAATAAAAAAAAAAAAATGGTTCTCACTTGGTACTGCTAAAAACAACTGCTTTATTCAATCGATAAACTTGACATATTGCTTTATGGGAATAGAATAGCACAAAAAGAACTAAAGTTAAGCAATTAAAAGTTGCTGGAGATTACTTCAACCAGGCTTAGTGCACCTCACACCGAGTATCCTCCTCCAATAGTGTTCGGGATCAATGATCAATTTGGAATCTATTAAGTATGACAAAACCATCTAATTATGAGAGCATATGAACTATTTTGAACCAAAGTGCTAAAGCTTCAATGCTTTAGCCTACCTTAAACCCATTTGGCTTAACCTAGAGAGATGAGAGGTCTCCTAGGTGGGGTGTGCCCCCTTCTACTTTCTATATGAGAGAGAGAATATTAGAGAGAGAGAGAAAGAACTTTCTCAAGTGGGGTGTTCCCCCTAGAGAGAGAAGGAGAGAGTAGAGAGAGTTTAGATAGAGAATAGAGAAGATTGGAGGTATTGAGATTTAGGGGAGAGGAGACCTTATTTATAGATTTTCGAAGGTTTACAGTGTATCATATTTAGTGAGATCAATTCTAGACCATTGATCTAAGGAGATTTGTCAGGTGAGAGATGTGAGCCATCCACTATTCAGATCTACTATCAAGATTCAAATGAAGGTGTTAAAATCCTATCCTCCATTTCTTAAACCTAATTCCATCAAATATTCAAATAAAGAAAATATAATCATACTTTTTCATTTTTTTGTATGGATATTCATTCCTCATTCCTCTTTCAATTAGAGTTTGAAGAGTCAAATATATTGCATTGCAAGACATACCAAAATAAATTTATTGATTTCTAAACCAGGAAAACTTTACAACAAAATTTAGAAAGCCAACTTAGCATGAGGGGGCTTGGACCAAAATGGCAAGCCAACCCTCTATGTGTGGTTCGTGCCACCCTAGGTGGCTCCAAGTGGGCCCCACACAATCTCCAAGTTATTATTAAAATAATAATAATAGGCCACCCACCCCCATATGTTAAGTTAATTAATAAATGATTTTTAAATAATTATAAACAAGGTTTATTTCTCTTTTATTATTTGAAATATTGAAAATTGATTTTCTCTTATAAAAATAAAATATCAAGATAATCACAAAAATTCAAATAATCAATCTAAAAACCATATAATATAAAAATAGTTAAAATTAAGTAATTTTGATGGGAATCGAATCCGTATAGGTCTAAAAATTATGAATATACTGGAGCACTCTGCCTTCAACTGTGGACTATGATCCATACTATCTTTCTCAAACTGACCAAACGGTTCCCATGACTCACAAACCATTGTAAGGGTTCATGAATGAGCCATCAAAGTCAACCAATAAGCCAGGGGATGCAACCTTAGTTTATGGAATACAGGTCTCCTTCATAGACAAATCCATAGTCCCCCAGACCATGATGCAACCACAGCTCTATGGTGCATAGAGGTCTCGTATATGTACACGTTTCACCTTTAAAAGTGGTTCACTTTCTCGATATGACTATCATTTGTACATGCCGTGTGATAGTTTGGGGGATGAGGCTTTGACCCAGTCTCTAAAGATCAACCATCACACACAAGGGTCACACAGTCCCTTGGCTTATTCATCTGGGCAATTTTTACCTCATCAAGGGATGACTCACATAACCTTCATCGGTTTATTTCTATGCCCAGGTACCTTGGGTTTTTCAACTCGACTGGCCGAACATGTCAAACCAAGTCTGAGTATTGACAAATAACATCTGTGCCTAGTATGGTCCACAAGAGGACCACATTTTCACTGAGTTTATGTTTCACTATATGAAATTGTTGTACAAGCTCTCATAAGGCCTTTAAGGGCCACATAAACCCAACACTTCTTTTTTGTGTGTGGGTATCCCATGGAAGGTGAGAGTTTGAGGCTGGCAACCTGAGGTTGGTATCGGGGAATATAATTTCACAACTTAATTCTTGAGCCTTCAACGGATGGCTCAAAATGGCCAATTACCTTAGCAAAGTCCTTATAATGACATGGGATGCTATACCTATCATGGTTGACTCACTTGACTAAGTGTCACATTTGGCAGATAACCCACATATTCAACACGTCTATTTGGATGGCCATGGCAATTTTAATGCCTATTTGCCAATCCACAGATACATGGAACAAACATCTACTTGTTACAGTCAATGATTAAAGGAAAATAGTATATATAAGGTTTCAACTTTAAAATGTAGAATTACAAATGCACCTCAAATATCCATTGGAA